TCTCCAATTTTTTTTTACCTTCATTCTCAATATCAACTCTAAAAGAAGAGGATTCAATGACTTCTTATCTAAAGACATTTATGAGGATGATGTCAAGAAGCAAAAAATTGATTTTACTAGGCATAGGGAAAGCTTGATTCTAACTTAATTTAGCTATGAATTATTTCTTCTACTTTTTTTTTTTGAATACAAGGCCACGGATGAACCGTGCAAAGGATAACTTAGGTCAAATCAAGACCTATGAGCTGACGACACCCTGGAGGTGGAATGTCATAAAATAAAGTGTCTGAATTTTCTCTCGTAGCTTGTCGAGCAAGCCAATCCGCACATTTGTTACATTCTCTAAATGCATGATTGAAGGTGACAACCTAATCCTTCATGATGAAACATCTGATCTTCTTAATGATATCGCCAAGAGGATGATTCGGATCATGATCCTTCTGAACAAGTGTCAGGGCTTTTAAGAAATCAGTGTATACATTAACTTGCTTGAAGTTATTTTCCCAACAAAGCTTTAATCCCTCAAAAATACCCAAAAGCTCAGCAGCAGTGGTAGGATAATAGCCTAGACTTTTAGTAAAGCCTTTAATCCAATTCCCTAAGTCATCGCGAATGAGGCCACCACAAGAAGCGTCTCCATTGGGGAGAACAGAACCATCAGTATCCAATCTGATCCAGCCAAGTTTTGGTGGAATCCATCTAGTGAAAGATCTGTCTTGATTCATCTGCATAATTCCAAGTTGAGATTGAAGGTAGAGGTCATTGATTATGTCCTGTGTGCAAGTGAAAATGATATCTTTCTAAAGAGTGTGGTTGTAACATTCCAATTTAAATTTTAATAGTTAATTTGGGTTAATAGAAATTTTGAAAAAAATATTTAGAGGTAAGCAAATTAGAAAGAGATGATTATTAAATCTAATCAGGAAATTAAAATTTAAAATAATAATAATAATTAATTAATTAAAAAATATTAAATTATTATTATTATTATTAAAAAAGAAAATGTATAAAAAAAGAAATGAGAAGAAGGAGAAGAAGAAATTGTGCTTTGGGTGCTCTCCCACGGCAATCATGACACATATATATAATAATAATAAAAAGAAGAGAGAGGAAAGAGGAAATAAAAAAAACATGTGGGACGCACAGTATTTTTTTTTTTTATAAAACCACCCTCATTCCTTTGTTTTTTCATTTCATCCCTGTACGCAAGTTGAGACAGAGAGCGAGCGAGAGAGCGAGCGACATTGATGGAGAGGCTGACTGATTTAGAAGGTGAAGCTTCATAATAGGATACTTCATATGAGATTTTAAATATTCTAAGACTAGGTAAGTGTTCTAAACATTTTTCTTAGTTATATTTTCTCTTTGGTTTCTGATTTTGTGATGGTAGAAAATTTAGAATTTGGAAGAAGGATGAATTTATGTTGATTAAATATGGTTTTGAGGTTGTTAGTAGTATAATAAATATTCTAGAGTATTATTTTATTGATAGAATTGGAATTTGAGGCATTTGAGTTTATCCCTAGATTCCTATGGGTAGATTTTTGGTTAAATCTGAAAATATAAATTGATTTGTTAATATTTAGATGATTATTTGAGATGAGAAATAAATTATTATGTCTATAGAATAATGATTCTAGACTTGAAATCAAGTTTGCAATTTTTGGGTATTTTTATGTGCGAATTTTTGGAATAAAAAGAGAAATTTTGATATTAGAAAAATATTTGAATGAAATTATTGTGAAGGAGACTATTGAACCAAGTAGATAGGTTCAAATACATGAAATTAAATTTTAAAATTCAAGAGAATAAGACTAATTTCTTAAAAAATAAATAAATATAAAATAAAATAAAATAAATACTTAGATGTTAGAGTATGAGTGAAAATTGTGTTAATAATATTATTGACACATTGGGATATGATCAATTGTAGATTAATTTTCTTTTGATACCATTCAAGCTTTGGAAAGCTTTGGAAGTGTTGTAACTTGAGGGGTAACCTTTGACCTCTCAAAGGTTGAGGTAATCGAAGGAAATCTATTTTATGCATTTGTATGTTAATTAATTAATTATGTTAGTGAAATAAAAGAATATATATATATATATATATATCTAAATTTAAAATAGTTGTTTGTAATGCATGTGACTTTGTTGAGACCTTATGATTTGTGACCAAGTTAATTGTGACTTGGTATAAGTAATGAGATTGATGTTGATGATGATGTGTACAATCTTGACTATAAATTATGAATTATATATATGAGTTTTTGAAATACATTTTTTTTATTAGTATGATCATATGGCGGGAGTTCGCCTTAGTGAAAGAGTTAGCGATTACACAAAATTCATATGGTATTTAGCTATTAACCAATAATCCTAGGGGTTATAACCACTACTTACCTTGTAAGATACTGTAGCATTGTTCCTATTAAGAGACTTGACCCTACTGGCCTACCTAGAGTTTTAGGTAGAGCTAGTTTTGGGTATGACACCCCATAGTGTGTGATTTGAGAGAAACCGTGTTCATAAGTGAGTAAGGTAACCCTGACCCGGTAGCCCCTCATGATATGATTAAGGCCTTGGGGTAGTCTCACCATATGGACAATCCCTTTCAGTTGTTGGCCCACGGATTTCATGTCAAAGAAAATAAGGGGGGATATAAGGAAGAGATTGATCATGCATATTATTATTATCATGCCATTTGAGTGATTGATGGCTATGTTGAGAACATGATTATAATTGTAGAAATGAGAACATGTAGTAATTATGCGAATAATGTATATGTGGCTATTTGTGCAAATTTTATACTTGACTTTATTCTTGAAATTATTCACATGAGTTAAATGTTAATGTGATTAACATGTTATTAATGTGATTGTTTGAATGGTCACCTTGATAAATTTATTGGTCACTTGCATTCATGATTAATTATCATGCATTTGTATAACTTAGATATACCTTGGTTACTGAGTGGTTGTACTCACCCCTTTCTTTTAACATATTACAGGAGCTAGCTCATCTGAGAAGAACAGAGGAAAGGAGCATTAGGCCAAGTGATAATAATCACTTCTGTAGGCCTCTCTCCTTTTATGTTGATATGTGTATTTAGTTTATGATATTGCCAATTAGGATAATATATTCTTGATCCATTTGCACTATGGGTTTTGTGTAGGATGGAAAGGTATTTTGGGCTCTTGAGAATGTGTTTTGATGCTTGTATTATATTAATGAGTCAAAATATTTGTGCAAGTAAAAATAGTTATTATCATGCTTCCACATATGTTTAATTGAATGATATGAGTTCTTAAAATATTTTAAAGACTTGGGATTCCTTTATATTAAATAGTTTGTGAAAAATAAATACATATTAAGAATTCATTTAGGTTAATCTCGTATTGTATAATCCATTTGGGTTAGTCCTTGATTAACCATGGTTAGTATGATGATTAAGCCCGTTACAGTGGTCTTCCGAGTAGATAGATTTGCAGTGCTCTTTCCAAATGTTCCAACAAATATGGGCAAAAATATCTTCAGGCAAATACTTTCAAACCTCTTCTACTCAATCTAAGACTAAGAATGAAAGCAAGAAAATTGAAGAGATTGACTCATTATGGGTTTCATAAATTTAAAAATAAATAATGTTTGGTCAAAATTGATAGAATGGTGTTGGATGGTTTGCTTTTTATAGTAGAGGCTATATAGTGCTTATCAAAAAATAATTATTGGCTAAATTTTCATTGCCACATGTCATTTGTGGGCCTCACATAACCTCTATCAAGTGAAGTTAATAATGGGTCATTTGATGCTCTATTTTTAAAAATTAAAAATTTATTTCATATTATCCAATAATATAGGTTATTTAGTGCTTAAAAAAAAATAATTTAGGGCCAATTTTGGTACTTTATCCTTAAATCTACCAAAGATGCTGTTTATTCTCCAGCGAAGGGCGCCACATTTCATATTGCTCGAGGCGGTCTTCAATCAAACCTTCCCAGGACTTCGACCAGCAAGATATGTATATGCAAGGAAAAGTAAAAATATGGTATCTTGAAATTAAAACGCCGCGGATTGTGATTATTAATATTATAATATAATATAATTTAAATTTTTATATATAATCATTATATATATGTGAAATAATTATATAAATATTAAACGAATCATTGTTATACATATTTTATTTATTAATTAGAGTAGAACAATTTTAATAATATTATATACAATTCTATTAATATTTATATTTTAAAAAATAATGTCTTTTATGATAATTATTGGCACATTTAAAATAAATTTTGACTAAATCATCTAAACATTTTGGTGTGAGAACTTCTAAATTAAATCCTCAACGATTTATCATGAAGATTAAATTTGTTGGTATTCATCTAAACATTTTTAATTATATCAAAATAAATATAAAAAGATAACATCCAAACATGATCACATTATAATATAATCAATTATAATTCAAATCAATCATGTTAATTAATTTCTTCATAATTAATTGTACCTAACTGAAATCCAAACACAACCATAGGGCTAAAAGGATAATGATAGACAAATTAATTCTTGAAGTATCTTATAAATATAACTAAAATAAATCTTCTCTCTATTCGATAAACAGGTTAAGAGAAACAATATGGTTACTTCTTCTAGTCCTTTCACTTCTAATTAACTCATCAAAATCAAAGGTGAATTAATTAAAATATTACACTTTCCAAATTTGTTCTTACATTAAAAAAAAGTGATTTGATGTGTGGAAAGTGTTTTTTTTAAATTGAAATATTGCCTTTCTTTTTAAAATTTACTGAGGGTACTTTTAGAATTATATATCAAATGTTATAAAAATAAAAAAAATTACTTATATAAAGGATTAAAAAACTTTCTAGAGCGGAGGGAGTAATAATTAAGCTAAGCTTTGCCCTTTCTTCATCTTCATATAATATGCCATTATTGCTTGCAACTTCATCAGATTCCTTCTGCTAAAAAGTAACCTTCAGCTTTTGTGTCCACTGCTGCATCTTGCATCTCTTCACTCCTTGTTCGCTATTTTCAAATATAGCTTCTTTAGCTATTTTTCATATTTAAAATTAATTAATTTCCCAAAAAACAAAAGAAAAAGAAGTGTGTTTTCGATCGTTTAAAGATCTCTTTTCTGGTTCATTTTCTGCTGCATCAACTTGCTGCTTTCCTGTTTGCTACTTCAATTTGCCATACACACACACATGTAAAAATATTTCTTCTTTTTTTTTTTTTTAATTGTATCTGTGTCTTGAAAGCTGATCGAAGAATGGAAGCTAAGATTGGTGCTGAGCATTCAGAGTGATACTACAGAGGTAAGAGTTTAAGCAATTTAAAAACAATATTGTATGGATATTAAAATTAATATTTTCAACACCATATCTCGCATTATTATTGTTTAATTTCCAGCTGCTTTTGCATCCTTCTTGTTCTTAAAATGGGCTGATGCAAGCGAGGGCAACTATTTAATTTCAGTTCTTTCATTTCATTCTAACACTGTATATTCTATTATAACACTTTCATTCAACAGAACTATTGTTAATTGGTGCTTTCTCGCTGGGCACAGAAAAGGGGGAGAGGTAAGTTCTCTCCTCTCATACATTTTAATTTCCATGAGAATTAATGATCGCAATTAATACTAGGAAGCTCTCTCATTTTGGAATGAATTATGTTCAATCTTTCTGATATTGGTCTAGCTCTTTTAGAACAAACACTACTACAAAATAATATTTTCATGTCGTACTTTTAGACCTTTCCATATCAAAAATGAGATGGATTTCATACTGGACGATTTTGAATAATGGATTATCCATATCACAAATATCAAGCGAGGGCAACTATTTAATTTTAGTTCTTTCATTTCATTCTAACACTGTATATTCTATTATAACACTTTCATTCAACAGAACTATTGTTAATTGGTGCTTTCTCGCTGGGCGCAGAAAAGGAGGAGAGGTAAGTTCTCTCCTCTCATACATTTTAATTTCCATGAGAATTAATGATCGCAATTAATACTAGGAAGCTCTCTCTCATTTTGGAATGAATTATGTTCAATCTTTCTGACGTTGGTCTAGCTCTTTTAGAACAAACACTACAACAAAATAGCATCTTCATGTCGCATTTTTAGGCCATTCCACATCACAAATGGGATGGATATCATACTGGACAATTTAAAATAATGGATTATCCATACCACAAATATCACTAACATGAAAGACTCTAAACCACATCCCCTTTATGTGTTGAATATATTTTTAGTGTCAGTACTCGATTGCTTGCTCATGAAACAAAACCCATAGATCTCATGCAAATACGGGCGTACAACACAAAAGGACTAGTGGTAACTATAAAGAGACAAATGAAATTAGTACATGAAAATATAAAAAATATTATCAAACTGAATATGTGTATGTATGTATATATATATAAATGAATATAAAAAAAACTTGCCTTTCAAGAATTGAGGCCACATAACATGACAATTTTCTTTTTAAAATAGTATTGCCCACGTATCTCATCCTATCACTAATATCATCATGAGTCGACATTAAAGAAGCTGGATACAAAAATTCAATTTGATTTTTTCATGGTCCAATGCAGAGATTATTGAGAAACTTATTAATAGAAGAGTATAAAAATTATTGCATATAAATAAAAATAAATGAAAATGAGATAGAATATAGATAATAAAATTACAAGATAGATAACATAGCCTATGAAATATCCAACTCCTTCATCAACAAGAATTCCAAGATGTCTTTCTTGTCTTCCATTGAGAAGAATTAGTCGGGTGTCAAAGTTTTCCATTAGATATTTTCTCATCAAAATGCCATTTCAAATTCTTTGCTTCTGTTATATTAGTAAACAAACATTGAAACCATTGTATTATTGGAAGATATCATATTACCTTCACAAGAGGCCCTTTAGCCATGATCTCATCACCTTCATTATCACCATCTTTCTTCACTTTGTACCACAAAGTCACACATTTCGGACACTTGTGTTACCCTTCATACTCATTTCTATATAGTATGCAATCATTAGGATAATTATATATCCTTTTATAATCCATAGCCATTGGACATAAAATTTTCTTTGTTTCATACATATGTTTCGAAAGCAAATTATGGGTTGGAAGCATTTGACTCAAGAATTCAAACAACTCTGTGAAGCTCGAATTGGTCCACCCACTTCTTGACTTTAAGTTGACTAATCCTCACACAGCTATCAAAAGTGTAAACTTAATACACCCTAAGTATAAGGGCTTCTCTGCATCAATACGCTTCAAATTTTGATAATTCAACATATATTTTTATTAATATACAAAGGAAGGTACAGTGGTACTTAGAATGAAAGGTTAGAGAGGAGAAAGGAAAAATTACAAGTGGAAGGTCAAGAGGGAGAGAGAAGAATAAGTTTCTAGAAAGAGAAGGAGGATGTCTAAGTAGTACCTATAAGAGGAAGAGTATTTTGCTTGTATAGACTTTAAAATGACTCTAGTTGAGTTGTTTCTAACTATGTTTGCTTTTCTTGACTATAGTCGAGTTTTCTTTTTTAATTACTTTCGATGGGATTCTACTTGTGACTTGCTTTTGAGTTTTCTTTTTTAATTATCTTCAATGAGATTCCACCCGTGGCTTCCTTTTACCTTTGTTGTATGCCATTTGCAAAAGCATTTGTCTACTTCTTTTTCTCTCATGATTTTCTTTTCTTTTTCTTCTTTTGTCCTTTATCGCCTAACTTTTATCTACCAGTGACCAACTAAAAATCTTCATAATCCGCTCCAAATATGCCTTCATCTTCTATTTCTTGACTGGAGAACATCAAATATAGCCTGGGATGCTTGAGAAGCCACATATTTGTCTCAATAATTCAAGATTTTACTTCTTAGGCATCCCAAGTTACATCAGGTATGGGATCCTCTACACAAGAAATAGAAGATGAGTACATATTTGGAGCTAATTATGAAGATTTCAACTGGTTAGACAAACAAAATTAAGGTGATAAAGGACAAAAGAAGAAAAAGAAAAGAAAATCACGAGAGAAAAAGTAGCAGACAAATGGTTTTACAAATGGTACACAACAAAAGTAAAGCAAGTCCACGGGTAGAATCTCATTGAAAGTAATTAAAAAAGAAAACTCAACCATTGTCAAGAAAAGCAATTAAAGCTAAAAACAACTCAACCAAAGTCATTCTGAAAGTCTAAATAATCAAAGTACTCTTCCTCTTACAGGCATCACTTAGACATCCTCATTTTTGTAATGTTCACCTTAGCATTATCAATAATCACCACACAATTAAAACACACAACGGTAATTAGGAGTCATTGGTCCCTACTAAACTTACTATAAACATGGAAAGGTTAAAACAATTAAATATTTGAAATATAATTGAAAAAAATTTTGGGATCCCAAGAAAACCCTTCAAATATATAGTTTGAGCTTAAATTTATTAATATTTAAAATTATGAGAAGCATGGTAGACAAAAGCAAGAAAATAATGGTAAATGACACATATGCCCTAACATTTGGTCCATTCACCATGGCATGTAGCACAAAGTAGGCATATGAGCATTTGTGCTGTGTGCCGCAACTTGTGTGCAACATGCCATGATGCACATGCCCTTTTTGCATCTAATGTCTAATTGGAGTGATTCAAGCACCTACATGAAGCTTATCAGATAAGGTAATTAATGGTATAAGTTTCATTCCAATATGATATCATATGAGAATTTTAGACATCTAGATGCAATAACTTAGATTTTAAAATGATTTTCAAGCATACAAGTATTCAAAACTCAAAACTTATACCATTAACCCATTTTAAGGCTTAAACCAAGTCCAATGAATCATTACACACCTGATTAAATAGTTAAACAAAATAACACATTAAAACTAAGATTTGGCCATTTTATGCCACCAAATTTAAACAAATAGGGTCCTTACATGAAATTTCTCAAATTTCATCCCTAAGCCAAATCTATGCAACATATAACATACAATTCTCATTATTATACATAAACACCAATAGCTTACACTTGTATATGTATTTTAGCCTTTGCCATAAGTATCATAACAAAATCCACTCTGGTTGAAATACCTCAAATCTATACAATATACAAGTTCAATACTATCATTTGTGCATTCCAATCACACCTCTCATAACACACACAAATCAGCACATCTTGCAATTATAACAAAAAATTAGCCTTTATTGTAAGTGATGTAACGAATATATACTTTGGGCTTATTTTACTACGTTCTCTCATATAACTACAAGTGCAAGACCTAACTTTACCACACCTATACAATCATCATGCAAAAGCATATGAAATCCATAATTGGCAACCATATATTTATATATACATTCATATACATAAAGCTTAAAATAAAGGCATTATAGAGCATAAACTAGCTTCTCCTAGCCTAGCTCTTTCCCTTGTCTCTTCTCAACCTCAAGACCTATAAAAATGTAAATTTATGGAGTAAGACAATGTTTCAGTAACTAAGATAATTCAAAACTATCTATTAATAGGAATAACTATAACAAGTAAATATAACCTCATTTTCTCAATTTCATTGAATATATAAAAATATATTTTAACATCTATAAATTCATTTTCATCAAATTATTTTCACACATTCGCATGATCATCTATCTATTGAACATCTATGCTCCCTTAACAAATCCATAGGCTCTACTAGACTAATCCTGTGCACATTGATTCGAGCACACCTTCAGTGATAAAATCACTTAGCCAAGGCATTCTATCCCACTTCCAAACTATGGATTATCCCTCATCACACATACGGTTGGAATATCATTGACTCATAAACTCTCTCTTATAAGTACTATAGAGTTGCCAACTAATCAGATTGTTCATGGTAAGAATCCTCAAAATTGTTGCACCATAGGTCCTTTGGTGTCAGCCTAACTATATGCATTTTTCACACTCTAACATATACACCAGTGAACTCCTACCATCATGATCATGTCATTTTTCACTCACATCACATATTTCAATCACATATATATATATATATATATATATGTATGTATGTATATATCTATTTGTATGCATATATATACATATACGTATGTAGATACCATAATTGAAACCAGCTGATTATGTGCTACTATAGGATTTGATTGATATTGATCTGAGTCACAACAGAACATGAAAGGTTTTCAGTCCTCTTTCATACTGAGATTAACAAGCCAGAAATCTCTTAATCCTAGCTATAGACCTTTCATAGAACCACTTCCTTTGGACCAGCATAGCACAACCTTCCTTTATTTCCTACTGGAAGCGTAGCCAGAGCAACACATAACTAGTAATTCCCCTTATAGGATCATTGTAAAACTTATAACTTTGTTACGAATCAGATAATAATTCCCCTTAATCCTCAAAAAGAAATTACTCAAACATACCTGTTACTCTTCAATACTTACAAAGTTAAAATATTTGAAACAAATACTTTTATTGATGGTAAGAAAGAGATCAGAAATTCTGAACTCAGATTACAAGAGAGAGATTGAGAGTCGTGAGAGGCATGTCTTGCCTCTGAGATTACAAGGCTTTATATAAAGTTGGTATACCAACCCTAGTTACATGACCATAGTTCATTGAAGATAAAAGGTAACTCTAATGATTATAAAAGACAAACATACTTTTGACTAATTACAAAGCAAAGAAATGATTACAAGAAACAAAATTACTTTCGGCTACAACTCTCCTTTGTCTGCCTTTTCTTCAAGAGTTAACAACTACTTTTTATCTTGTCAGCTTACTTTTCTGCCTTTTTCTTCTTGCTTTTACATGTTGGTAGGGTTAATCCAGAATATTCATGTTAATAGAGGGATCTTCATAGTCTTTTTCATTTTGTCTTCTTTCTTCACAATATTTACATTTGTGATTTGCATATTCAAACAATACATGGAAAATCTTCTTTTT